CATCAGTGAGATTTGCCATTCTCCGCACCAAGATACGAACTCGTCAAAGAGACAAGTGAAGTCAATCCCTGGAAACCGTTACACTATCACTCCTCTTTCTGTCTTGACCAATCTATCTACTCTTTACCCTCTAATCCCACTGCCGCCGTATCACAACTTCTCACTTGTTTACATTCCAATCATCAAAATGTGTGCCCTTTTGTGGCAAACTGAGTGTGGCCTCATCACACTTGCTATTTGCCCCGACTCCTCTCTTTCGATGGGCTTATCCCACTCGGGCCTCCAATACGGATCCTTTCATTGTCTGTGACCTAGAGTGAATTCATTTCATATATCGAAGATATGAACACCAAGATCGTGTGCTCCTCGTTATGGTATGCATATGAATGTTTATTACGACCGATTTTATAAAAGAGCAATTTTTGAGATTATCAGTCAATCTTAAGTTATTATTCTTTGGCTTACCGTGAACTTTTGCACGAGAGCTTCTTTCTCAGACAGACTGGCCGGTGGCACCTCCTCCGCCTCCGCGAGACGGCGCTGAGCAGAAGACAACCAAGCTTCCTGCTCGGCCAAGCAATTTGTCAACTGGACAATCTGACACGAGGCTGTCTGAATACGCTCGAGACGGCGATCAGCTCGACACTTTATCCAGTCGACACGAGCCCGAACTGCCGGTACCAGGATCTGGGCAAAAATGATCTCCGGCTCCCGAGCTTCGGCGTTGCTAGCGCCGTCCACCGCCTGAAGGAGCCTAGAATAAGCGGTGTCTTTGAGGTCAGTGAACAACTGTTCAACGTTGGCCAACTGACAGGCCAAGAAATCGTCGGCTAGACAGGTCTTCTGCCAGACAAGTGTGGCCATGTCGACCTCGAGGTGGCCGGAAATGGTGCTTCTCGGGTGGCGAGCAGAGTCGTCTTGCGTCGTCCTGCTATCCGCATTTGACTCACTTTTGGCCGTGAATGCACCCGACTCATGCGAAAGCAGAGCTTCCAAACGGTCGCCAGCGGCATCCAGATAGCCGACCACACGATCACAAACCATTCGAAAGCTGGTGCCAGCCACAGTCAGACCCTCTTCATGTACCAGTTGGTCGGTACAGCAACGCTCAAGTTCAACAAATTGGGCTGAAATGGTGGCGCCAATGTGTGTTGGTTTAAGGCGACGAATAATCCTTGTCAAGACGACTTCTCCATCATCACATGAGACAGTGTTGGTAAGATTAGCCACGAGAGCTGGGCTGGTATCACAGTCATAAGCCAGTGTTTCGGGGCGTGATGATGTGAACAAGGTTGCCAATGTGTACGCATTCGAGGCCAGACGATGCAGCAAGGATTTAACGATCTGGCGATGAGCTGCCAGCGATTGTTGAACAAGCTGGGATAGTGTAAATAGAAAAGCTTTAGTCACCCAAGTTCACTAAGATCCCACAATGAGAAGAGTAAATAATAAATGGTCTCACAATGTCATTAAATTTCACTTACCTTCTTTCTTCCCATAAAGTATTCTCATCCAAGTTGGACTTCAGTTTCGACCTCACTTGAGCTGATCGTTCCAGCAGCCCCGGTGTAAATCGAACCAGGATAGCGAAGCGAATAATTTCTACATGTTACCACTGAGATACACTGCAACGAGTGTCATTCAATTACAGAACAGACATTAATTTCAATTCAA